CACGACTTAAGTGCTTTTGTTCATTTTCATATCCCCAGCACAAAGCAGAGTATATACCCTATAGATTTCAGTAAGTATGTTGAATAAATGAAAAAAAATAAATGCCTTGCACATTGTAAATGAACATTTTTCCAAGTTAATATTCCCAAGACCATCCCTAAAACCATTTAGGCCAATTTATATTATTCAGAAATTATAAATAATGACTGGCTGTCTAAAGTTCTACTTATAGGTCTAATTTATCCATGTCTAAGATAGACTCAGAGGAAATAAGAGGTGGTCAATGCATAAGCTCCCTGCATTCCTTATTGATAAAGTGCTTCAGACTCCCTCTGCCAATGGTTTTTCAGCTTTTCAGATTGTGAGGCCAAAAGCTCCTGTGGGTACTCATGATTTTAAATGCCTCTCATTAATACTACTAACCCACCTTCTTGCACTGATAACCTCCTTGCACTGATAACACTGACAGTTCTTGGGCCCAACAGCAACAGCCTTGGAGAGAGAAGGAATGAGCTGGAGTTCCAGAAGGGGGCAGAAAACAATGGGGAGCTGAAAATCATATCCCTTTTTTGCCCTTGTTCTTCATGGGTAGATTTGAATGGGACCTGAATGAGGGATCCACTTGCCATAGCGGGAACCCTTGAAGTCGTCCCAGGTAATGTTTAGGAAAAGCACTGAACCTTTTGGTCTTTATAAAAACTGAACCCAGAGGAAATCTGAATCCCTGTAGACAGTGGAACCCAGAGCTCTAATTAAAAGCTGAGTTGAGTTTGTATCCTTGGCAGTTATAAAAATTCCAACCAAACTCATTCTCTGGCCTGTGGACTCATGGAAAGAAAATTTCAAGGTTCTGCAGTGCTTTGGGTTTACATGTATGTGTTTATATTGCTTTTCTTCAAATTAGTCAAGAAGCAGACAATATGACTTATTAAACATCTTTGTGAAACAGTATGGTGTGAGAATTATACTGAGTGATTTGTGTTTCTTGCCTAATTTATTAATTTCATAATATTTTAAAAAGAATAAAATGTGCCATGTCCTGATACCATCTCTATTTAATTTGGTGCGGCCCACTTTGGATCTTATACTTAACAAGGGAGAAAGGGAAGATCTTTATTAGCATCTAACAGAACACTAACCAAGCAAATGCTAGTGTTTTTTCAAACCAGGGCCAAAAGGAGCTTGTTCATCTCTTCTTTATCCCCCTAGGAACTGAGTGGTACCATATAAAATAGTCGAGAAGACCTAGTCCCTAGAGGGAAAAAATATTATACTTGTGCTTATATCCTTTTTTCCGAAACCAGTCATAAAACCTTTATTTGACCAGCACATATAAGGTTTGAAAAAAGAGGGGAATACAAAAAGAAAAACCAAAGGGAAATATTAATATTAAAAGAGTTTATGTGGGGGTCACAGTGTTCTTACTAGAAATGAGCTGTTCTGTACTGTGTGTGCAACAAAGAGATTCTTTCCAGGCTGGATCCAGCTTATCAGGTTCCTTATGGATTTGGTCAACAGAAAAGCACTGGTTCTATTTTGGGGGTAGGCTAAGTGAGAGCAATGATGCTTAGATCATTTCTGGAATTGGCACACAGATTCCTCATCAAATTGTACATGGAAATAAGAAAAATGAGCTCTGCATATGACAATCACAGACAGTATAACCTTCTTAAAATAGGCCTTCTCTTAAAATTAAGAAATTTAACTACTTCTGTGTTTGTAGATTATTCCCATTAGGATTAGGTTAGGACTAAGGACAAAGAGTAAGCTCTCTTACCGCTTCTAGCCTATTCTACCTATAGTAGGTATTTTGCAAATCTATTTGTTGAGCTAAAGGAGAAACAAAATCACTCACCTCCTTTCAGCTGCCATTTTTCCACTGTGTGACACATAGAGCAGGTCCTAAGTAAATGCTTTCTTAACACTTTGATCTTTTTGAGAAAAAAAAAAGAACACTGGGAGAACATTTGGCTATTTTGTTTCTAAGTTATGAGTTATCTTGACCCTTGATATAGTACCTTCTTCCAGTGAATGTATAGTCCTTCAAATTATTTCAATACTATTCGAAAACAATGCTTTTATGATAACATTCAGGAATGGCATGGAGTCACTTCCCACATGCGTTTAATGTACACGTGACTTTAGAATTTAACGCCCGTGAAGGCGAGACCAGTGTTCGACCCAACGAGGTGAGAGTAGCAGCTGTTCATGAGGCCATGGAGGGAAAACCCACGTGGGGTGAGTGACAGGCAGGGGGTTGCCCTGCTCTTCTCAGTGAGTTTTCAAAGACGTGAGCCATCACTCAAGATTTAGTGCGATAGCCAGCAAATGTTTTCTAAGTACGTACGACGTGTGCACCACTGTGCCCTAGTTACTTTCATTTTTTTCTTCTTTAATTCTCAAAACAGCAACAGACATGATATGTATTAAGGTTATAACGGCTTCTTATTAAAACAGAGTGGAGTTAAACTTGCAGGCAAGAAAAAGCACTTTGGAAAGCTCTATTGTTTCCCATTCACACTAGGAACTTGAGAATTATCTTAAAGGAAGAAAGAAGTAAATGCCCTGACATCTGCATTAGATGTGACCTTTATTTCTCCCTTTTGTCTAGCTCAGCAGCTCTCAGTCGCAAATATGAATGTGTATCACTATAAGTACTAAGTCACAGATATTAAACTTTAAGTGTGATTTAAGGAAGTTCACGATAATTTTTGAATACAACAGATTTTTGCTTTAGGCACTAACTTTAAAACTAACCCTTGATTAACAAGAGACTCCATTTTATTCAAACTAAGCAATAAAAATTTTAAATATAAAACAAAATTCCAAAAACAGTGCTTATTGCCAAGTGGTGTTTCAGTTTGTTACAGAAAAATCAAGGGAGTAATTCAAATCATCTTTTCTAATATCAGCATCTTCGCTCTGTTGCCAGCTGCAGGGGGAAAACGGATTAGGTAAAGAAGAGTTCTTTGGGCTCAGAGTTTCTTTAATAAAGCTCCCTTTCTCTTAGAGTCCTATATGGCGTAAGAGAAATCGCTCAACCTTCCTCTGTATCTTTTCTCACCTGTAAGAAGGAAAAGTAGACACTTATTTATAAGAAGTAAGTTTTAAAACGCCACATTCTTCACATAAGATTAAGAGGCTTCGTGGAAATGCCTCTTCTTTCTTAGCGTCCCATAGTAATTCTTTGCTACATGGTGCCATAGCCCCTGGTTTAAGGGCAGGGCCTCAGGGCCAGACAAATTGAGTGCAAATACCAATCTGCCACTTAGTAGAAGTATCACCCTGTGCCATTTGTTTAACCTCTCTGGGCTGAGTCCCCCCCTCCTGTAATGGAGATAATGTCCCACTCCCTCCCAGGGCTGTTAAGGACAAAGTTCTTGAAACTCAGCAGACATTCAAAAATATTTGTTGAGTGACGGAAAGTAAGCGAGAAACAGTACAGAAGGAGCACATCGTTCACATTAATCTGTAGTTATTATTACTTCCTGTTAGCTACTAAATACGTGGGAATGACTGTTTTAATGTTCTAAGTAACAGACAGAGCATGCCCAGGCGACATGAAGCCACCGGTAGGAGAACAGAATGTGAATATATATGTAATATTACAGCATCTGAGACATGTCATTTGTACATTCAATTTTATTCTCAGTTCCAATTCTGCCATTAAAACCCATTCCCTAAGATAGAGGCCAGGGCCGGGACATAGGTGCGTTTACACAGCCCCATAACTAAATCTTCAACATTTGGCTTAAACTGTGTCTCCTCAACGTCACCTCCGCCTTGCTCCTCTGCTCTCAGGCCTCAGTGGTGCTAGATTCACAAGAGCACCTGCTCTCATCGCTCCGCCTGGTAGGCCCCTGCTGTCCCCCGGCTTCCGACTCAGCAGTGCGGGAAGGGTGGGCTTCAGGGACCCCGCTGACAGTGGCGCGGTCAAGCTTACTGGGGAAGGACTGTGCTCCAGCCTGGCGTGGAGCATCCTGAACGGGGGCTTCTTCCGCGGTGCCAAAGGGCGACGTGGCAGGAGCTCCCTTGCCATTCAGCTTTTCTTCGTCTTACCTCACTCATCCCCTGTTCTCCAGGCTCAAGTCCAGAGACGGGATAGCAGGACAGCTATGCAAACCATCGCACTCTGCTCTCCTTCTCTTTTTTCCTCACATCACGACAGCTCCCTTTTACTGGCTTTTTATCATATACTCTGCCGTCTTAATGCCAACTAACCCTTGATGACCAAAAGGATTTGTCTGTGTTAATTCTATAAACTTAATCCCCCATGCATGGTTGTTGATCTGCTAATAAAGGAAGAAAATTAAAGAATTAAAAAATCTTCTCTGAGGACAATATCTTGGTTTGCAAAAATAGTTTTTTCCCCCCTGCATAACCTATTTATATGTTGGAAGCTAAATACTGCCCTGGTCTTAATCTTCGCACTGCTTCAGGTCCAAATTCTAATCTTCTCTGTAGACAGATGGATGTCTGGGATGGAGTAGGCAGAAGGCCTTCTACTTGGAAAGGGAAGGGCAAAAGGCCATTAGTAATTTTTTTACTATTTCCCTATTGTGTTTCAGGTTGAAAATGCAATTTATTGGGAAATTTCCTTTTAAGAATATCACAGAGACATTCAGGGTATAAAAGTCTGCGTAATATTTTAAAAAATAGCTCATCCATTATTTGTATGCATTTCAGAATGTGCAAACAATAAACCTGGCTCTCCACAGTCTATACAGGAATAACTGTGTTGTATAGATACGTTCTCAATGTAAACTATTTTGGTAATTTTAAGGTGTTGACATTTATCTATACTGAACTAAGCTGTGATCAGTTTCTTTAAATAGAGCCTTAAAACTATACAGCTCTTTTCCAAGACTAAACTTGTTGTCTTTGGTTTTGATTAAACTAATAAATTAAACAGGCTGGCTTAATCTCTAGTTTTACATGTACACATCGCTGTAGATTTTAAACTAGCAAAGCAGAAAATGAAAGCATGTTTTCTTTGGCAGGCATTTGATGTACTTGGAAGAGTTGAAGCTTACCTTAAGCTCCTTAAATCAGAGGGTTTAAGTCTGCCTGTCTTGGCAGCGAGACATGAGGAATTATACAGAGAAATTAAAGACTGTGCAGCTGATGCTTTGCAAAAGGGACAAGCCTTAATCAGCCAAGTAGACTCCTGCAGGTGAGTAAAGTCTATTTCCTCCTCTATGTAACAAGCTCTTTCACAGTTTCCACAACTTGTTAAAAAATAAGTTGCATGATTCTTTTCTCTTCCTGATACTTTGCTACCTTCTGACATGGTTTATGAGGATCCATTGAATTTTGGTCAGCGTGGTTCTGAACACAGCATTGCTCAGCCAGAAGAGAGGCTATGTTCTGAGCCTGAGGACCTGAAGGTGCTAAAGCTTTCCTTCTTTGAGTTTCTGAGGAGAGGAGAGGGAAAGGACAAAAGAAGAGACAGAGCTTTAGTTCTCAGTACTTATATCCTCCATTGGGTTTCTGTCCTTTTAATGCATGAGCCTGGAATCTACCCTGTTTCCCTTTCCCTTCTGGAAAAAAAGTTAAAAGTGTACCAGAATTCCCTTTCATCAATGATTTGGTGCCTCACCATGCAAAAACCCCAAATAAAAGGTGACATTGCTAATAATAAAAATAGCTCACATTTACTGAGAACCCACCATTTGCCAGGCCCTGTGCCAAGAGCTTTAGGAACATTATCTCATTAATCCTCAGCAACTCTACACTACAAGGCACATACTATTAATGTTCCACTTTTATAAGTAACTGAGACACAGAGAGGTTAAGCAGCTTGCAAAAGGTCACACAGCCAGTTAGTGGCAGATCCAGAATTTGAATCCAAGTTAATGGGCCCTAGACCCCATTCTCTTCGCCAGTGCGCTAGGGCTGGGTGTTTTTATGAGCACATTTGATGAGTGTATCATGTGAGTCTAGAGTTTAGTGGCATGAGGAAAGAGAAGGAACTTGAGAAACAAAGAGAATGAAATGGAAATGTGTGAGAAAAACAGGGACTGGAAGACAAAAGAGAGATAGTAGAGCAGATGGTGGTTTAGATATCCGCTGGGAAGAAATGAAGGCAGGGCTTACATTTTGACAGAGAGACAAAAAAAAAAATTGTGCTAGTGGGTTAAGTCTAGTTTTTTATCTTCCGTTTCCACAATATCCCTGAAACTCAAAAACATACTATTTGAGAAACAATGGAATAGGTGAAATGTAGTAAAATTACTCTATTTTTGTTTCTGTTCTGCTCTGTGAGCTGTGTTTAAAAGTGTTGCTTTGGTAAGCTTGAGTTAAAGGAATTTTCTTCCATAAGACAGTGTGAACCTGGAGGGAGGTATTGAACCAGGGTTTGTGATGGCGGCTGTGGAACCTTGCAAAGCCAAGATCAGAAATGCCCCAAGGCCTTCCAGCGGTAGCCAGGAAGCTGAGGCTATGAGAAGGGAAAGTGATTCTTCCCTTTGAAAAGCTAACAATAACAATCATAACTACTACGGTAGTTTTACTACAGCGAAGTTTCTCCACACCATATATGTCAAGCAAAGGGTACCCTTGCTGTGCCTGGACTCAGGGTCTACGTTGGATATTGATCTGAGTCGTGAGTCATGTCATGACAGAGTCAGGTAGCGAAGTCTCCAGTTATAATTGGGGAATGGTCCCATGTCAGTTTAGCACATGGGTCTCCCAGCACAGATCAGTGCTATTTCTCTGTTCGGGCTACTCTTTGCTTATAGTGCTTTCCCTGGCCTTGAGCAGCATCCTTTCACCCACAGGTAGATTGGGAGGCACCCAAAACCTTCTCCCAGATCTCTGGAGTTCTGTCTCCAGAAAGATACCCCCTCAACTCAGCAAGACCTCTGGGCCCTGTTTGGGTTCTATATCCCTGAGCTTTGATCTGGAAATGACCTTCCAGACAATAAGCTGATGCATTTGTAAACTCACCTCAGTTGGTTCCCTTCTCTCAGGGATTACTGTCCTGTGCTATCTGTTGTTCAATGTCTGAGAACCATTGTTTCATATATTTTGTTTATTTTCTAGCCATTTAAGGTTTGAGGATAAATACAGTCCCTGCTTCTTGGCCAGAAACCAAAGTTCCCTATTCAGCTTGATGCTAACCCCTAGAGTTGGAAAGCTGGCCATAATTCCTGCTAAGTTTTATCCTGTTTGCTCTGATCGGTAGTGCTGTATTTTCAGTTCTTAAACATAAAGAAAGTGCTTTTATTTTATATTACATTCTATCTTCAGGGTGTTAGTGACTGGTTTTGGCCATGTTTATTCACTTAGCTAGTGTCATTCTTTTTCCTTTCTTTGCTCTTTCTAGTCTTAATTTATATATTTATATTGTTTTTCAAAGAGGCATCTATAATTCTATTCTTCGGGTTGCAGGCCGAGCCTTAGTAGAAAGAGTAATAGTTTAAGGCCATTTCAGGAAACTTTAATTAATGGTTAGATAATTCGATTTAAAAAAATAATTCATCGTGTGGTTTCTGTCAATGTCCTAGATATATAAGCTTCTGTAGTAGTTTCAGGGTATTTGGTTGGTCTGAGATTTCATAATATTTCACAAATAAATACTTTGTCCATTTTTGCAGGAAGAAGTGAAGGTAAAGTATAATTGTTACTTGGAAAAGGACATTTTTGATTCAGAAGGTAGATGTAGACTAGAAATTCACTGAAAACCAGATTGAAATTCATTAGAATCTCAGTTGCAACCTAGAGCCACCTGTAGATGCTGACCTCAATCTCTTGCATTCTGTTTGGGACTTGCTTTTCTTCCTCATCTAAAGGTTTATCTGTTCAATGACCTGAGTCACCCTCACAACAAAGAAACGAATTTAAGGAGGAGCTTTCAAATTGTAGCCACTCCTGGAGTGGAGTTTAGATTGGTGGCAATGGAAATAAATGTCAGTTTCAACAGCATCAAGTCCACGTTCCTGAACATCACGATGCTTCCTGGATTTCTGATTGACAGCCACACTGCTAGGAGAGAAAACTCTGAGATTCCTAGTACCAGGCATTTGAAAACTGATGTGGATAAGAAGCATAAGACTCAGTGTCAAAGTTTTATTTCATGCATTTTAAGGGCCAAAACAATGCCACGACTTTTAAACTTCTGTGAACCTGTTTCCTTATCTGTAAAATGGAGATATGTGTTTCATAGAGGTTTTCTTTTTTTTTTAATTAGATGCGAGAACAGCACTCTAGCACATATAGAGTGTCCAATAAACAATTGGTTCACTTATATTTTTTTACCGTCCATATAGAGCTTTAAAAGTTAATAAATACTGAGGCACGTAATTGTTTCAAATGATTGCAATAGTCAGCTACACAAAGTCATATTTATTTTCACTAACTGAGAAGGTTATATTTGAAATAGGACAGATAAACATTTTTTTAAAGATTTTATTTATTTATTTTTAGACAGAGGGGAAGGGGGGAGAAAAGGGGAGAGAAACATCAATGTGTGGCTGTCTCTTGTGCATCCCCTACTGGGGACCTGGCCTGCAATCCATGTATGTGCCCCGACTGGAAATTGAACTGGAGACTCTTTGGTTCTCAGGTCAGCTCTCAACCCACTGATTCATATCAGCCAGGGCAGATAAGCATTTATCTTAAGGTAATAAAAGGCATAATTTAATATTGGGGCAGGTAGGAATTTCAGAGACCCTTAGATCTGATTTTTTTTTTCTGTCAATAAAAGAAATAGGACTTTAGAAGTGCATGTTTATCTAAGATTAAGCTTCCTAGTAAATCTGAGACCTTTGTCACTGTTGTTCTGTAATCACTACCTCATTAGGAACAGGTCCACACTGTTTTCCTATCCTGGAATCAAACACCTTTGAAATTGGAGCAGCCTCACAAAATGAATAATGGTTCTTTAAATGTTTTCTTGTGTTTTCTATTTCTTCCCTATAATCTGGTGATAATTATGAGTCCTTATTAAATAGCTTATTATCTTTGCAGAGTATATCTGTCACAATCTAAATACACTTTAATTTGAAAGACATCTCCGTGCATTCATTTGCACTTAGTTAGGTGTCAGTTATCTATAATAGTACGTGATAATGGTCCAATTTAGACATACATTGAAGTGGAAATCTCCTGGCTTCCAGGCCCTCCTCACCTTCTCCCAGGCCTCACTTGGCATCACCTTTGAGCACTGAATCTAAAGATAGACCATAGGTGGCCTGCTACCAAGCAGAATTCTGCATTTATGTAGTGGTTGGAAGTGCCAATTCAGAGACCTTGTGTGAGAGTGACATTTTCCGTAACTGAACAAAAATGAGGGGCCTTCTTGTTGGTCAGTGTAGCTACCACTTCAGAACTCAAAGACACACAAACACCCAACAAAACCAGGCAACCTTATGAAGTATTCATTTGCCTTTTTCTGTTTACTAAAATTAATTTAAGATTTATAAGTAAATTTGCTTCAATATTGACTCAATTTGTATCCCTGCAGAAAAGACTGTACCATTTTTTTCTTTTCTCTTTTTTGCAATTGATTCTAGGGAGAGGGGAAGGGAAGGAGAAAGAGAGAGAGAGAAACATCAGTGTGAGAGAGAAACACCTATCAGTTGCCTCTTGCACATGCCTCAGCTGGGGACTGAACCCACAATTCCAGCATGTCTCCTGACCAGGGATCAAATCCATGACCTTTTGGTCTGCAGGATGACACCCAACCAACTGAGCCACACCAGCCTGGGCAGACTGTTTCATTTTTCATCCTACCTGTACAAGTTGAATTTAAAGCGTCAACACAAGAAATGTCCAAACCTGTAGAGAATTTTTATAAGACTTTATTTGAGCCAAACTGATGACATAGTATGCTTGGGAGCAAGATCTCAAATGTCCTGAATAACAGTTTGCAGTTTCTTTTGTGCATTTGGGATTAAGGAAGGAACATAAAGAAGATTACATGAATGTCAGAGAAAGTAAAGCGGGGAGGGGATTACAGAGCAGTTAAAGATTATGTGCTCTCTTGAGGGTGGTTGTTTTAGAAAAAGGGGCCTGGAAGGGTGGTTCGCATATTAGAAGGGGCGGGGTCTGAAAAGAGGCATCTCAAAGGTGTGTTAACATAGAAGCAAGAAACAATGAACAGGGCTGCTTAAGGCAAAGATAAACCTTTTACTAAAGAAATTATATGCCTGGGCGTGACTGCCCACCGTG